AAGCTACTTATAATTGCTACCATAAACTATTTGCCCTCATTGTTTTTCCTGAATAATAAGGCTGAAGCTTGCTTTTGCATTGGTACAAGATTGGAGTGATTGCTGGCATATTTTTGACTGCCACTCCCTGGCTTCCTCTTTTTAAGGCTTTTTAGGCATTTCTGTCACTTGTGGACTCAGGTTGTTATCCATGTTATAGGTGTTTGTTTTTAATAGTTAATCAGTGTTTTATTAATAGTTATATGACATTGTGTCTGTGTAAGTCTGGATGAAGCTTGTCTACCTGCTACCTCCTCCGTTTCCATGTTTTTGGTAATTTTGTGGGATTGCTATGTGTGGCTTATGTTGGACTGAATGGTCCTTTTTCTTTTAGCTTATAAGTCAAAGAGAGTACTGCTCCAGTACTCTTCCACTAAGCTACACAATTTCCATGTACACATGCACGTGCCACTGCTACGGCAAAATCTGTGATCTGTCTAATAATGTGACTCAAGCTCCTGCTGTGGTAGAGTCCCCTCTCCAGTCTGCTGTCTACCAACCCTAACATCTAAGGATTCATACCTAAAGCTAAAGTCACAAGATTAATACCTAAACCTAAAGAAATATATGGTGAAATACATGTAGCGCCTCCTGGGGTCACAATATAGACAAGCTGTAACAGTGCCACGCCCAGCTCTGCTTCCATAACCAGAAATTCTACACCTTCTCCTTCAGATATTTAATCATAATGGCTCTTATGAACTGATCGAACTCCATCATGTCCTTCTAGTCTACTGCCTCCTTAAATATGGATCTCCTGATGAGCAGATGAGAGACAGATGGTGCAATCAGCTCCGGCTCCAGGAGATCTCGTACGCCCTCTGGTGGAGAAAGTGGACAGACCTCCAGATTCATTCAGTAGACCAGGTGGCTGCTTAGATTGCAGTGAGCTTGCCTGCTTGGCGAGGTCAGCTCGGATGGCCATCAGCACTGCAAGGCAACTGTAAACCTTGGTCTTTTCAACTTCTTCTCCCTTAAGAGTGAAGGGTACCTTGTGCAGGACATCCTGGTTGACCATAAACTAGAGTTTTTATCTTTACTAAAGCATGGCAAAAAATTGAATGATGTCATTCCATATAAATGCTTGTCATTTTTTACTTGGTCAGTCCTTGTGAATCTGGCTGAGGGGGAGGTCTCACAGTAAACTATGGCAAGAAGTGGTAGAAATCGCACCAAACATTCTGGGAGAATTTAAAATTCATATAAACAATCCCAAAAATAATAATAAATATCACTTCATGTTTTTTTTATGTATTTATTACTGATATTCAAGGCTGCACTTTAAAAAATTAAATGCTTAAATTAAATTTCTTTTTGTATACACTCGTGTATACAAAACGACAAAATAAATCTGTCTAGGTCTAAGTCTATGTTGGACAGCTTTGGACTGCAGTGAACATCAATTTTCCAACATATATTGAAGCACTTGTTGGCTGCAGAGTGGATCCACTTTCTCTTTCAGACCATAATGTTTTATCATTCAGTGTTAAACTCTCACTCTCCACATCTAACCTCACACAATGTAACTTAACATGAAATTCAGCACATCTGTTTGGACAGTTTATCTTCTTATATCAATAGCCTCCTCAGTGTTGACAGGTTTTCTCCCCCAGATGAATTGCTCTTACACTACTCCACACTAAACTACATCTGTTTCATTCACTCATTCTGCACCTTGGTTCACTTCCACCCTCTATCTATTAAAGGCAAAAAGACATCAGATTGAAAAACTCCACAAGCAAATTGGTCTCATTTTGCAAAGTTAAATGCGTGCTACTCATATTCTTCACTATAAATACTTAAAGATTGTTCTTGTAACGTATTGCTAGACCTACTTGAGTAAAATTACTGACTACTGCATCTTCAGGGCGTAATTTGAATTATTCCAAAACCAGGTAAACATACAGTAAAAGGAAATATAGTACAGGACAGCAAATTCTTTACCATGTCCTAGAATATATGTAGTTCTCACTGTGAGGATTGGTTTTCTGTGTTTTAGCAGAAAAGATAAAACAAAACAACAGGCTATTTTTGAAAGTATTTCTTCTCCATGAATTCGCTCTTTCATATCCATTACATTAATTTGTATTCTTTATGCATTTGAGTCTTTCAAATACCAAATTTTGCACATAAAATCTGTCATCATCATTTCTAAGAAGTAATCCGATGCTACTATCCAACAATTAATTAAGTAATGTCTTGGAGGATTACTTTTATTATTTTACTTTAGTCAATGAATGTTGAAATAGTGTTACTCTTACTTACATTTTCTTTTCTTACTCTGCCCACCTTTGCCCATCCCCCAACATTGTGCAACACCTTGCTATCATTATTCTCTCCCAAAATCAAACATGTCCCTCAGCTTCCAGCCAACTCTGCTCCCATTTCATCTCTCCCCTCTCAATTAATGTCAGTGTTTCCCCTTCCCTCAGCCATTGAGGTCTCCAAATGTATCAACAAATCTGCAATTTGTCAATCAGACCCTTTTCCTCTGTAACTCACATCCACGTACTTATTTTCATTTCAAATCCAAAATAGAAACACATCCGTTCAAACTATATTAATCTCTCTGATCACAACTGCATTGTTTTATTCAATTTGCATAAAAAATGTTTTCTTATGTCTTGTCTGTTTTTGTTTTGTGAGATGTGTCTTGATTATTATTATTGGCCTTATATCTTTACCCACAAAGCTTTAGCTTTACAAAGTTGTCAGTCAAAAGTGAAAAGCATAGGATTATCTGAGCAGTGTTTTCTTTTTATTATATATATATATATATATATATATATATATATATATATATATATATATATATATATATATATATATATAACTTTTTAAAACCACCCAATAACACACATCTGTCCCCAAGCAGCTCCAGACAATCTGATAACGGGAATGGATTTGGAATTTTCCTTGACAGAAATATCCCAGACCTTTCACTGGTGCAGCTATTGCTGCCATCAACTTTGTTTAATAATTTTTCTTCTTTCAGTAGAAAGCAGAACCAGGTGATGTGATTGGACATGATAGATTCTATTTCAGCTGTCTTTGCCAACAAAACCTTTTTAGTGGAGGAAGTTTTTATTTAATGTCAGTTTTTGTGAATATGTCACAAAAGAAACCATAATAGTTTTAATGCTGGAAAACGAGGTCGAGAGCTTAATATTGATCGGTTCTCAGAACAGGGAAGGTTTAGGTCGCCACTGATGTAATGCAGCAGGCGCTGATAAGAATGAACACTGATACAAAATTAGATAACATGATGACCTGATCTTGCGGGCCTGCTGACATCCTTTCATGTGAACAACAAAAACAGCTAAAAACTCACAGAAAAGGCTATTTCATCGCCTTTAACACTTTTATTTTGTGCTTTAGATTTTCGTGCAAACATCATGTCAAAAGCATATAATGGGGAATTTAGGTAACCAAATGTAATTATCATTACAAACAACTCACAGAGGAGAATTTTTTTGATCTAGGAGTCCAACTTCATGATAGGTCGACATTTAATTAAACATGTTTTATACATTTGAATAATCTTTACAGCCCCCTTCACCCTGACAACTCTGCATAAAATTTAGTGCAACCAACTACCACTAGATTTGAACTTAAAATCAAGAGTCTATCCGTGGAAAAATTATTCTTAAAATCAATTAAGCCTTTTTGAAAAGTCCTCTGAGTGATTAAGTGAGGTAAATAAAAAGCACTATGGAGAACAAGAACAGAGCAAAAAGTCAAAAATAAAGCTTTGGAGAAGTTAAAAGCAGAATTAGTTTATAAGCAGCATCATAGGCCATGAACTTCTCATATGGTATGCTCAGTCATCATCAGACACTGAAAATAGTTTGGCAATGCAAACCTAAAAAGATTTGGCCGCTCTTAGTCATGCAGTTTATAGAAGTCTATAGATTTATTTTTTATGAAAAGCCACTGCAAAAAAAAAAAAAAAATTAATTAAAAACCAGATTCTCAGTTTACTACTAGCAATGGACAAACTGTGGAGGAAGCTGCTGTTTGCAAGTTAGAAAATATTTTATTCAGCAGTAAGAAGCAAGCACCCAAGAATTGATTGGTGGATGGATTGGGCTGAATTCAGGGGGTTACAAGAGAAAACCAAAAAAACTGGAACCAAAGGACTTGACACTGGACAACTCTAAACATGACAGAAATAACTACAGATGATGACATGGCTCAGAGCAAAGCATATCAATTAACTAGAACATTCACAGACACTCTATAAACTGACTGAGCTTCAGGTTTTTAAACATGAATAGGCAGTACATGTATGAAGCCAGAAGAGCCACCCTAAAAGACAAGATATTTATAGCTACAATTGCTGCATGGGTATTTCTACAAAATAATGAGATGGGAAAGTAGAACACAAATATAATACCTCAGAATTTGGATTACAGATAAATTTGGAAAATCGTTTATCCTGTACAATGCATTGAAGTTTGTGGCTTTCACTTGTGAAAAATTAGAGACATTAAATGGGTATGTAAATGCTCAAAAGGCTGGGACATTTCAGTCATTAAAAAATCAGAGCTGCAGTGCCAACATGGAATACTCCACCTGACCACCATTGTCTGTTCTTGTTATGTGTTCTCCCAGATTAGCATAAAGCTCCTCAGGTTTCTGGTGAGGTTTAAAATCCACTGTTGCATAGATAATATCTCTTGTTTCCTGAAAGAAACAGTCAGTTTAGAGATTGCATTGTAGAGGAAGCTCAAAACAACGATGTCTCCTTGTAAACCTGACAATGAGTCAGTAACTACTGGTTCCCACTTCTGTACCTACCAGGGCTTCTTGTTTCCCAGACTCACTCAGAGTTGTTCCAAAAATGTCTACAAAACAGGAATGAAAACAATTACATTGACTGGCCCCTATATATCATATAAGAAAGAATAATTCATCACTGTCACTGAGACAGTAACACCAGAGGTAGGAAAATGCTTATTTGACTTTTTAAGTTTCGATTTGACTTTGCAGCAGACGGCACCAATCATAGCAACAGCAGAAATCACGGCTGTGATGGACACAATGAACAAGAGAGGGACACCAAAATTCCAGGGAGATCTGAAAGAGAAACAGGTTTTAAAATTCAGCCACAACTAATAGGTGCAAAAAAATACATTATTGAATATATATATATATATATATATATATATATATATATATATATATATATATATATATATATATATATATAAAAACACAAAACAATGCTTAAAGATTAGACCTGTCCCTGTTGTCCTGTACCAGAACATGTCCAGTAGAATCCAGGCCTGCTGTGGAGCTGTTTAAGGCACTGATTGTTGTTGTGGTTTTCATTGGAGGCTGAGACTGGCGGGTAGTAATCAGAAACCTCTGCATAACGCAAGACACAAGATTTGCAAGTTAAGATTTCAGAGATTAGAGTAAGACCTAAAATAAAACGTTTTCCTTTGCACCTTGATATATAATATTTGCATCATAAATTATAGGTTAAACATTATTATTTAGGTTTACTTACCGAATATCTTCACATAGTAGTCAGCATAAATGTGGGTCTGGCTACCCAGAACACTACATCTGTAAAAACCTGCGTCTTCAGGCTGTACATGGGATATATTAAACTCAATCAAGCCATCTTTCTCTGTTGTTGTAACTCTTCCTCTCAGGGAATCAAAGGTGTACCCTGCACTGTCCAGCAGTTTGTAACATCTTCCAGCATACAGTTTACAACATGACTTATTGTAGCTGTTGTAAAATGGTGGATAGATGAGTCTCAGTAAAATGTGCTGAGGTTCCTTAGTCCTCTGCCGTGCTTTTAGGAGGAAGCTATCTGGAAAAGAAAGATTAGTTTTAAGATGCCTTTTCTAATTTCATTAGCAGAACATTTCCTACTTTTCTCTGTTAACCATACCTTGTATAAGACAGATAAATATGATGAGAACCTTCATCTTCTTAGTCTCAGCACCTGTGAAGAGATTTTCTTCTTGTAAGATCCTTCTCAGAAAAAAGAAAAGGGAAGTTGTTTGTTCACCAGCTAAAAAAAACAAACATATGACTGGAGGTTGTCTGAGAAGATTTACATTTTTGCTGTTGCATAATGCAGAAACACTTTTTTAAATGAAACAGATGGCAAGAAGCTTAATTGCAGATTTTATGGCAAACAGTAGAGATTGCTTCCTGACTGAAACAGTGCTTATTGCTTGTTTTCTATACCCCACGATGTCTTAAATATGTTTAAAAAGATCCACTTATTCTTGCAAATTCTTTCCATGATAATGTTCTTTAACTGCTGATGAAAAATGTGTGTGGAGTTATAAAAATAAGTGACATATGTTCATCCAGAACTTGTATCTATCGTTAAGCATTAATGATACCTTCCCAGATGTCCTAGTTAACCACAAGCCTTGTGCTTTTATGTTCCCCATTAAACAGCACAGGTGGCAGCTCTTCTAGTTAGTTATTGCTTTGTTTTTTATTAATGGTCATCGGAATAATATTAGGGACCAATGTGCTATAATTGAGTAAATAGATAAGTATAAAAAATGAATTTATATGATATGATTCTAACAAAAGACTTTCATTTTTTGTGGCAGTAGTGGCTCTTTTTTTAACAGCAGGCTGACAGTAAAGGGGACATGAGAGAAGGGGAAAGACATGCGGCAAAGGACCACAGGTTGGACGCGAACCCGGGTCGGCCAGGTCAAGGACCAAGGCCTCCATACATGGGTCATGTGCTCTAACCACTGCAACGCCAAAGTAGTTCCATTTATTGAATGCACAAATAAAAAATAAAAAATAACCTATTTGTTTTGAACCATTCCATAAACTTAGTATGTATGTTGACTGAGGGGTCCAAATGCCCTTCTAATAATTCTAAAAGTACTGTAAACACAAAAATGAGACAAACTTATAAAACACATGCAAAGGAAAATATACAGCAATCACAGAAAAGTACAAACATAGTGCAAATATAAAAACTGCTACAAACACATAGATGAAGCTATTACACAATGAAAAACTCATGCAAAAGGAAGATGCTGCAAAATGAAGTAGCAAATACAACTGAAAGTTAGGAAAATCAGCAAACTAGATGTGGATAGCAGAACTGCCTTAGATAATCAGGGGCAGAACCTTTGTAAAGACATAAAGGGAGAGCTAAAAGAGATTAAAGCTGATTCTGATTTGGGCCAATCATAGCTTCTATTCCTGTTTCTAATTCCATCACCTGTTGACAAGTCAACAGTAAGAACTCTATCCTGGGTAGGAAAGAAATTCCGGACTGTTGAGACGCACACGGGTGATGCAAGTCAAGGCCGTGACTACAACCTTTTGAAAAGGAACTACATAAAACAAAAGCTACACAAATGCAGTGAATGCCTGAAACTGAGGATGGTGTTTACATTTGCATGTGTCACACTCAGTACAAGTGAAGAAATTGTGTATTTTTCTCATATTCCATGAGGTGGGCTGTGCCTGTCATGGAAAGGATTGTGAAAAGCCTTATTGTTCCTCGTATAGAAACATCAGGAGAAACTGTTGAAAGGAAGCATCAAGCTTTGTCTTCCTACCTCCTTCATTTGTGCAGCATTTTTCAAACAGCACTTATGCCTATTGCTGATGCACTCTCACTTTGGCATAAGCATCCTTACCGATTGTCCAATTGTCCAATTCTATGTGAGTTTTTTTGCTTTGATTTTATATGTCTTAAGAATTTTCTTTGTCACATACAAAGACAATAAACTAACAAGAAATTATGAAAGATAGGGAGGAGTTTTATGCATAAAATAGCTGACATACATAATTCAACAAAAAAAATTAAAGATTTTGAATTTGAAGCATAGAGGACATTTTTTGAAACGTTGTTATTGAAGAAGGGCAGAATAGAAAGATTAAGTTTTTCTTCTATAAAATGGGACTGAGAGTTTGGTCATAATAAATCCTTAATAGATTTTTAAATAAAGGTTTATAAGAAAAACTTAGCTTTTCTTTCTTCCCTCCAAATGTCTCCTGTGTGTTGATGTTGATCTCCCTCTAGTGGTCTTGAGTACTTGTGATTTGTAGAGCTAATTAGCAGGTTTCCTTAACTTGCAGTTGTTTTTGCCACTTGCAACATTATCCATTTGCAATTGTTGTGTGTTAGCATAATTTGTTTCATGTTTGCAATTAGTTACTCTCCTTTTGTCAATGATTGCATTTGTGCTTCGCATATGTTTTTGTGAGTTTGTAAAAATTTTTTGCTAGCCCAATACTTATCTTTGCGGTCCATTTAGGATTTAATGCATTTTTATGAATTCGCATTGCATTTGCACCCCTCTGCCACAGTGGGTATGATTATTTTTGATTATTGATAAATAATAAACTAGGAAATATACAGATAAAAACTGTTACTTAAACAAAATTGTAACAATTTATTTAATGAGTAGGTCAAAAAATCCTCCCTTTATACAGAATTATATGGTAGAGCAATAAAAACAATAATAATAATTGCAGAAATATGCAATTTGGGGATGCAAAGCAGGTTCATTTTTTCCCCCATGAATATGATGTTGCAAGAACTTTATTTTTTTTAAACATCTCATTGTTTAAAAAAAATAATATATTTAAGCTTATATTATATATATATATATATTTAAGCTTATATTATATATAATATATGATATATATATATAATATATATATATATATATATATATATATATATATATATATATAATATATATATATATATATATATATATAAATAAATAAAATATAAGCTTAAATATTTTACTCCCTCTAAAAAAAACAATGAGCTGGTTCTCTGCTGCTAAAACCACTTATTTATAAAGTAAAGAAAAAAAAAATGTTGCTGCAATATTAGACTGTAGATATTTATACACAAAGCGATTTATTTGGTATTAGCTTTTATCTTATGATACACTTTTTGCCAACTCAAAACATATCATCCATGACAAAACAAAATGGAAATTAAAATGTATTTACATAAATATTCAGAGGGTTGTAACAAACTAACAATTAACTTAATTCAGATATAAAATAAACACTCCCTTTGTCCCTGCATTCACTCAAAAACAAACAAATTTAAACAAGGAATTCCTAAAACATTGTTAGGCTTGCAGCAGATAACATTGTCTTGCAAGTAAAAGCAGTTCCTGCACATGAACACTATTCTTAAACCTTACAAAACAGACACACATTCTTCATATTTACTCTGAAATATTCATCCCCCTTTAATAATTTAAAAGCAAGTGTTGAAATTTGATAACTTTAACAAGCTGTTTTTATTAAGCCTTTCCTGCATCTTCTGTATATAAGGCTTCTGGTCACAGCCTTTAATATGCATGGATGCATTTCCGAGCTGAGGTCACTGTTCTTTTATTGGAGCTCACAACACATTTCTGCTGCTACTCATTGGTAAAGGTAATGACATCATAGGGGATGCCCTGCTGCTGCAGCTGTTCCAGCTGTTCAGGTGTCGCCTCAGTATAAAGTGTTTGGGTCTGTCCCATGGCTGCATCTGCTACAGCTGCAAGAAAAAGAAAAAAACAAGATAATCAGTATGAATTGATGTCTGCATTCTGAAGAGATAACTCTTTCTCATAAAGGTATTTTTATTCTTTATGCCAGTAAACTTTAAAAACTATGTGAAAAAAAATTACAAAACAATTAAAGAAAGGAGCTCTGTTTGGGACAAATCAATAAATAAGGCAACAAATTTCATCTTAGCCTACATTTAAACAAATCCTCTGAATTATTCTGTGTCTTTTGGACCAGATTAAAATTGCACCTTGGCATTAAATGTCAGATGGTTTCTGCAACTTCTCCGGGAAGTATCCTCTCTGGATTTGAAAGACTTGTACCTAAACCCAAACAGATTGACTGCATACAAACCAAATTACACCCTGATTGGGTTGGCAGCACTGCAAGTCATCTGTTGTAAATTATTAAGTAGTCCACTTGCCGATGCAGTGGCAGCAACATGAAGGATCATTGTGCAAAAATAACCGCACAATGAGCAGGAGCTGAGAAAATGAATCCCAACTGTGCAGAAGTGTCCATACCTCTAAATTGGACGTATTAGATGGATGCTAGGAGTGGATCTGTAAGCTGTTCAGGCTGCAGTCCTGTATTTATGATGCTCTTAAAGAGAAGTCATGGCATCCAGTAAACAGCAGATGAGAATAAGGGATGAGAAACATGATGGAAGTGCAAATTACAGGATTTAAAGTAAATTTCATAAAAGGTTTGGGCAAGTGTCCTAAAAGAAACTTCAGGTTTATGTGATGAGTAAAATATGAGCAGAATGTTTATTTTGTGTAAGTGTTTCCTCATGACACCACTTGCTAAGACAAAGGATGCAGCATTTTATGAAAAAGCATGTAAATGCATGTTCAGCAGTGCACAAAGAAAATGAGCCAATAGCAATTCAGATGGCGTTTTCTCCTTTAATGCACGGTTGACACTAATGGTGGAGCAGCATAAACCTTAAATATTACCTATATGTTAATTCAGTACTGTTGGAAAAAACAATCCAGTGCACGTTAAATACATGTTGCAGAAGCTTTGTTATTTTATAGAAAAGAAGCAGAGGAATATAAATAAAAAAAACACTGAGAACATTGATAGTGATATTAGATTTTCTATAAACGCCATGATTAATATTGGAAAAGGGCATCTTGGGGCATTGTTGTGCTGGTTTGATGATTTTCTTTATCAAAATTGATTTTCAGCAACAATAAATGACTTAGATTAAGATACTGCCAAGACTCAGAACAGAACATAGTGAAGCAACCTTCAGTGTTTATACTCCAAAAATCTGGAATAATCTTCCCTTACAGTTTAGAACTGCTCACACCCTGAGCTCTTTTTTTAACATAAAATCTTAAAAAACGTTTTGATTTCAAGCTGATTTTGCAAAAAAAGATTTAATTGAAACGGTTTTAAAAAATCTGTTTTCATGTGATATCACATTTCTTTATACAAGCACTCTGAGCTGTTTTTTGGCAAAAGGTGTGACATAAATATAGCTGCCTTGCCTGAATCTATTATAATAAAAGAACATTAAGCTTTTTCCACAGAGCTTACCTGTGACAGCAGAATGGGCAGCAGCTTCCAGGTCCTCAGCGTTCACCATCTGAGTCTCAGGGCTGACAGGTACATACTGGATCTGCCCATCGTGACTTACAGCAATCTGTACTCACACACACAAAGGCATAAAAAAAACAATAAAAAAAAAAAAAAGAATCTCAGTAAATGAATTGCTTAACTAGTCTAATTTAAAGTAAATTAATTTTACAGTCAATCCAATTTGCCTCACCGGTTGCTCCTGCTCATATTGGATTATTTGTCCATCAGGCATCTAAATAATAGAAAACACCCTTAGATACTGAAGGCTTTTATCTGATAAAACTTCAAGAACCTTATTGTCACTAACCTGTATGTGATTACCGTCAGCAACTACAACATACTCCTGAGGTAGTATGTGCTCAACTCCATCCTGTGAGATGATGTACTGAACCTGAACAAAACAAAAAACCCTCCAGGTTCATTTGAAACTTGTAATAATGACCTACATGTGACTAGATTATGTTGAGTTTCTTTATAAAATTACCAGTATGAAGTAAAATACACTCAAAATGTTGTAATCCACACAGTCAGAGTTATAGATACAGGCTCAAATGGAAACACTGATACATTTTTTCTGGAAAGCAACTATATTTCGATTTGATGTTTGAGCACTGAGAGCTTTCCCTGTCAGGATTAGCAGCTAATTTTAACTGGTTGGTTTCCAGGCAGCGATGCAGTTTTTTAGCATAGCCCATAAACTGTCAACAGGGTTAAGGTTGAACATTAGAGGAGACTATATCAGATTACATTTCATTCACATCTCTTCTTAGTTTTCACATATGGGATAATTGAATAGATAACAGAGTCCATATTTAACATTTGGTCGCTTGTTTAGAGTAACAACTTTGGTTTCTGAACTGTTTAAGTCACTCTTCAGTGCCTCTGTACCTTTGGCACTGAAACAACCCACTGCCACCACCATCCTTCGTAAATAGTACAGTTGTTGTGTGTATGAAAGTTTTACACTAGAATCCTCCAGAAATACTTTGTTTTATAGAACAACCAAATAGCCTCATTCCATTTCATCTAGATTATATCCAAAGTGGTATTTCGCTTTATTCATGCCATAACTCTGCTCTTTGAACCTCACCATTTTGACCTGGGAGAGTGAATTAAGTATCCTCTCCAGGTGGGCGCAAACCTTGACTGTGCCATGCAGTGTCAGTAAATAACACACTAATGTCTCCGATCAACAACAGTCAATGTGAGGCAACATTTCTGCAGATTTGAGACGAACTGGCTTTTTTTTTTTATCTAAATAGTCTGCATAGTGAAAGCAATGCCCTTTTTTGTTTTAGACAAGGTCTAAGTCACAAAAATGTGTTTTGGGTTCAGAGAGATGTCAGAAAGCCCTCCTAAGGAAGAGCCTAATTAGGAGAATTGGCATGATGGGCAACCTTATGAAATGTGTGACACTCCGAATTGCAAAGGCAGCAGCTCAGTGGAGGCAAGTTTCTTTCTTCTAAGTTGGAAAATAAACTTTTTTCCCAAATTCCAGCAAAACATTCCATTATGCCAAAGGCAATTCTTATCAAATATGCCAATAGTTGACATTGGAAGGCTTTTACATAAACATGAAATAGAAACTGTAAACAAATAGATTTTTTTTTTTAACACACATTTAAAAATAATTTTTGCTTAAAAGCCTGGTTGATGACAGCATACCCACCCGTTCACCCAAGTTTCTAAAGAACCTCCTCACAACCACTTTTAAATGTATCCTGACTAACAGTGACCACAAGGTGGTTGGTAAAAGCCCAGCCATCAAAATGCAACTCCCTAAGACATATTTAGCCAAATATGGGAATAAAAGCATAGCAAAGCGTCTCTGTTGCAAAATCCCAGTAGATGAGTGGACATAGACTCAGAACTATACATTCATTTACAATGTAGTCTGACAAATCAATGAAATGTCTCTTACTTCATGCACCTGGTTATCTCCCGTCATCAGATGTTGGACAGTCTGACCATCTATGGTGGTTATCTGTTGGATGTATGGAGCTTCCTCCTGATGGACACACAAATAAATAGATGCACTTAGAGATTTAAAACAGAAAAAACAAAACAAAGACTGCCTGTAAAGGTAAGGTGTAGTAGAATTTTAATTGCATTAATCAATAATTAATCAGCGTTCAGGTTCACTGTAAGACAGACAAAGATTAAACATGTATAGGCTTTGGCATGCTTCTTTATGTAGTATTGATACTTTTTTGTTTTAATTTGTTTCCCTCTTAAGTTGCTCCTCTCTCTTTTAAAAATCTCTCGAATATTTTTAGACAGTAAATCAGATTTTATAATACTTCCAGGTTATGAACAGATTATCGCCATATTGATTATATCCAATATAGTTTCCTATCATTATGGCCTTTTTTTCTGCAGAAGATAAACAAGATGGAGGTTGATTTTATTAGTGTTTCCCCATATCTCAACTCAATATAGCTAGATAGAGCATGCAGTGGATCACAAATTTATATAATTTTGCCAAGTACACTGATAGCCCTTATCAATTTCCCCCTGACCTCCTTTATACGGGATTTCATGCGAAGATTTTTTTTAATGGTCTGTTGGTGCTGTTACCTGCTCTGGCATAGTCTGCTCTTGTGATACAATAATGTGATCCTGACCCAAGGCCTGCAGCTGCTCTGGAGTGATCGCTGTCTGATGTGCCTGCAAGGCTGTTGCAAAAACAAAGACAAACAGAGTTAATGCTATTTAATATGAAAAGATAGAACAACAAAGTTTTTTTTTTTTTTTCTAGTTGTAATGATGTTTCTTGGCTGTTTATTTCCTTTAAATTGTGCATCAATGCAAAGGAAAATGCATTTGTGGGTTGAGCATCACAGTTGGTTATGCGGTTTTCCCTATGAAAACTTGTCTCTCTGTCAATATCCAACAATCTATTATGCTAAAAAAAAACTGGTTGGAGTCGTTTACTGGATTGAGAGAGCCATACATAACAACAGCAGTCTGCTACCTTATACTGGTAACCATCCTTAACCCACACTGCCTTTAGGTGTGGCTTCAAATTCCTCAGTAAGCTTTTGTTACATCCAAGAAATGTGGTTCTGTTGGTCTTTCTGGGATAAACAGCCCATCTAAACTGGTTGTACGAGTGTTTATAGCATTATATGGCTGCAGGCGGTCGTACCAAACAGTTGGATTGAGAGAATGTTACAAAGAAAAGAAAAAGAACAAAAAAACAAAAAATAAAATAACCAACTAATCTCTTTCTTTTTGTGTGAAGTGTTGTTTAATTATTTTTCTTCATATTTGATCTGAATATGTGTGTACTAACTCAATCTGCACCAGTTCTAAATAATTCACAAGTTTGTTTTTCTTACACTGCAGAGTGGCCAATGCCTCTTCATCACTGTTCACAATGATTGTTTGCTGAGATGTGTTTCTTTGGCCTTTGCGAGTTGGTGGATCCTGACTGTGGAGACGCTCCATGTGGAACTTCAGATGGCCGTTACGGTTAAACCTTAAAGTGTTAAACAGAAACAGTTACACCCATATCTGATCAGTGCATCTCATCCTTAACCCTCACTGAAAAGGTTTAGTCCCAACCTTTGTCCACAATGTTTGCAAGCAAACGGCTTCTCGTTGGTGTGGGTCATCATGTGCCGACGCAAGTCCTTCTTGTTCTTTGAGGCAAAGCTGCAGCTCGGACACTTATGGGGCCGCAGGTAGGAGTGCATTCCCATGTGAGACTGAGGAAACCATGTATAAAAAAATAGACTATTATTTCTAGCTCAACAATCTCAGAGATGCATTGGATTCTAAATATTGTTAGAATTAACAATAAAGACAATACAAATGTTAAAAGAAGGAAATGAGTTTATGGGACTGCTTCGGATAGACACACCTTTACTTCAGGCCATGAGTTTGAGGTGAAATCACAGTCAGGACATTTAAAAGTGTTGGGATCCAAGTGCGCCCTCTTGTGGTTCTCCATGTCAGAGCGACCGTTGAAGGACTCCATGCAGATGCGGCAGGAGAACCTCTTTGTGTTGGGGGAGCTCACCGCAGTAGGTGAGGCAGGAGCTTCACTGCTTAGCTAGCGTTACAGGAGAAGCAAACATATGAGAATCTAGTAATTATATTTATGAGCACCATAAAAACAACCCGGGTAAAAATAATTACCTCGACTTGCTGCAAAACTCCATCAGCCAGGGCTGAAGTTAAATAGTATTTCTCACTTTTCAGGCTCTCTGATGCAGAGACTTCTAAACCCTGACTGCTTTCATCCACACTGAAATACAACAGTTTAACAGAATTAAAACCTGAAAACAATAATGCAACTAGAAATTATTCTTAGTGCTGTGAATTACAGTCTTTGGTTGTTTCACCTGTATGCCGGGCTGTGGATTTCTCCAGCAGGCTCTTCAACCACATTAAACTCTCCTCCTTCCTCATAGGATTCTATAGCAATGTGGGTCAGCTCCCCAGTTTCAGAGGCGGCTGCCTGGTAGGCCTCCTGCAGCACTGTTTCACCGTTCTCAGACACATGAAAGGTCATGATCTTTTGACCCTGGCCGGATGCAACAGTCAGAGCACTTACTGCTGCCTCTTCTGCTTCGCTTCCTTCGGATTTCAGCACTGCCACCTGCAGACATGACAAGCTAATTTCTAAACATATATCTACTTTACAGATTCTACGAGCACCCCTTGAACATTTTCACATTTTGTTACATTTCATTCACATATTTAATGCAAGTTTCTGAGATCTTACGTGATTACCCAACACAAATAACGTATGGTTGTGAAATTTTACAAAATTATTTAATGGCGCAAATCAAAAAAAGTGTGTGTTGACTGTAACAGGACCATTTAACTCAGACACATAAAATCAAAAATCACGAAGACAACAAAACACAGCCATCAGGTCAGGGAAGATGTTCCTGAAGATGTTGTGAAGGCCACAACCAGTTCTATAATACACATTGCAATGCATCACTCCTGTGTTCACCACAGCACCTAAAGCTGCAGGTCAAACCTATAGAGGTTCACAACTCAGCTGCAATATCCGTTCAGAGGAAAAAAAGTCATTTAAGGCCAAAAGTGCGATCTTTATTAAAGACAGGAAGTGACCTATTCCCTAAGTGGATTTTTACAAGATAGCGAGGTAAAAGAAAAATAGATTATGTCCTCGTCATTACCGCAGTTAAATAGCATGGTTGAAACATCATACTGTTGCAGTAAAAACTTGTGTATTGGATCTTCTGATTGTTTAAGGAGATTTATCGCTAATGCCATCATCTGCTGGGATAGCATTAAAGGCAGTAGATTTAAAAAAGCTCAATGCGCTGATAAAGAAGGATGACCGTTCTGAGGACTGATTTGGATATTCTGGAGATGATTTTGCCAGGAAGGATTTTCCATAAAATGAAGAATATTTTGGAAAACAAGGAGCACCCAATTCACACCGTCATACAACAGCAGAGCGTCTTGAGGTCAGAGGTTTCTTCAGAACTGTTCTAACAGAGACAGGAGATTGTTCCTTCCCTCAGTATACAGCCTCTACGGCATGTAGAATAAATCTAGAAACATTTAACAAGTTTTATTAATGGAGCATTTTTGAAATCAATTCAATTCTCCATCTGGGATATGTAAGATGGTTAGGTTTTAAGGGATGATGCGTGGTGTTGAATACATGGGAAACTTTAAAGAAAGCCTGTAAGAGGCTGCAAAATACTTTAAACTAAGAGAGAGGTTCACCTTCCAGAATACAGCCAGAACCACCATGAAATAGCTTAGATCAAAGTATTTTGTTATGTTTGAATGGTTTAGTCAAAGTCCAGACTTAACTCCAGTCCAGATGTGACAAAACCTGAAAACTGATGTCCACAGGCACCGTCTGAATTTTTAACAAACATGAAAATTCAGACATTTCAGTTTATAAATATTTAAAGCAAGTGGAGACACTTTATAATATCTGTGATATAAAACCCAAATAAATGTATCCATGTTTATGCTTAAAACATAATATTGGAAAGGTATTTGAAGGAATGCATACCTTTGCTAAGCATTGTTAGAAATGTGTGTTTCCTATGTAAAAACATTTTTTTTAACAAACCTGTAAAGAGTTTCCAACAATTTCCCGAGCATTGCTCATGTTTAGCAGCAGGTCCAGGGCATTCTGAGCAGACAGACCGCCAGATTCCCCTGAGAAACAGTTTTAGAAAAGTTAAGTTACCCGATCAGATGAATATCCCTGTTAGCCTTTCTAACACTAACTGACCATGCTCATAGATGATAGTTGTATTTCCCAAAGCATCCTGGGTCACTGAAGCTTTTTCTATCCCCTGCATAGCTTGCAATGTCTCATGATCCACAGTTATCTGAAAAAAATAGGGGGAAAAAAAGTTTACATAATGTAATAGAAAGCAAAGTGATTTGTGCTGTTTTTATAAAATGCCCTAAACAGACTCACTATAGTGTTCTGTAACGTCGGATTGTCGTCTTGTTGTTTCAGCTCCTCTATCTGCTGCAGGGTGAAAAAGGGTTTCCGTCGTCGTGTCACCGGCTCCTCAGGGTGAGCCAGAGACCACTCGTCAAAAGTCTCCGGGTGGCGACACTGCACATGGAGACGCAGGTTTTTCCTGTGCTTGGTGGTGAAGTGACACATATCACAAGAGAAAGGCTTCTCCCCTGGAGAGAGACACACAGGATAACATGAATATATACAGGAGGCAAAACTTAAAATATCCTGATATGTGGCCTACACCTACCTGTGTGTTTGATGGCCATGTGTGAGACCAGGAACTCCTCTTTGGAGGTTGAATATTTACAGTAGTCACACTTGAAGGGCCTGTCGTTAGTGTGTGAGAGCTGATGGTTGAGCAGAAGCTTCTTGTTTTCACAGGTATAGTCACAAAACTCACACTTAAACCTGAAAAAAAACAACATAGGTTTAAAACACGTTCTAATTATTATTTTTCGCTTGGAACGTCGAACAATGCAAAGATTAAAGTACTGACTTGTCTCCGAGACTCTGAATGTGGGTCAATAAGTGCATTTTGAAAGTGTATCTCTTCTTGAAGGATTTGCCACACTGCAAGATGAATACAAAAACAAAATAATCACAAAAAATTGTTTTATACATAAAAGACTGATGTGAAAGCAGAATTTGGTAAACTGTAGAGGGAATTCCCAAACCTTGTCACACATGTGTGGTTTCTCTGAGCTGTGGGTCTTCATGTGTTGGGTCAGCCTCTTTTGCATGGGGTACACTTTACCACACACAGGGCAGGGGAACTCTAACACCTTAGGAACCTGCAGGAATAGAAAGAAATTGCTGAGAAATAACAGATGTGGTAAAAAAGGATCTGCCCACTTCAACAGAAACCAGCTGCAAATGATCATCTTTCATTTATCGCTGAAGTAGTTTTCTGTTTTTAAAAAAAATTTTTATTCATAGATTATGATTAAACACCAAACAATAATAGTATTTGTATGTTTTTAGATTAACCTTGGCATCATTAAAAATATTTTCTGCACATCTGGACTGGTAAAACCTCAATTGGATTACTTCATGCTAAACACAGACTATTTAAAACATATTTTGGGATTTTTTGTTTATTTCTTAGTTTGGGGTAAGACTGAAAAGTCCTTAAAGCCTCATTAGTCACGTTTTTTTAAAGTTTATTTTGGCACTAGCTCTATTTTCCTATGTATGGTTCTATTTTTTAACTGTAAGGACCTATGGACATCATAATGTTTAGCTTTTGATCTTCAGATCTTTAAGTATACTATATCTTTAAAAAATGCTTTATACATTCGTTGGATAGAAATATAACAAATTATATATTAGCCTTTTTTTTTAAGTAAGCAATATTTCTGATGTTGGATGGGAGGGAAACACAACACCTTTGTTGATGAATTTCTAAGTCTTCCCTTGCACTGCAAGGCAAACAGCTAATGGCTTCATACCCAACAGGAGGAGTGTTTTAAATTTAGTCTAAGAGCTGTGGCATGTATAGTAAAAGGCATGCTAAATATTACTCACCATCTCTTTTTTTTGTTTCCTGTAAGAAAACAAAGATATGTATATATTATTAATTATTATCTTAGACAATACAGGGGAAAAAGTAGCTTTACATTAGTTAAGTATGATTTACTTCTCCTTGCTGTGAACTGCTGAGTGTCGCAGAACATCTTTATTGTAAACACTGGAGTAGTCACATTCTTCACATTTAAACGGCTTTTTACCCTCATGATTGAACATGTGCTCCTATAAAAAAAAGGAAAAAGATTTCTAAAAAAATCTGTAGAAAAAAAAAAAACAACATGGCAAAAGCTGCTTTGTTTTTACAGACCTTCAGTGAAGACCAGCGCTTGCAGCGGTAGCTGCATTGTAGGCACTTAAAGAGCTCTGGGTCATTCCCCTCATGGGAGCTGACATGAAAGCGCAGGTCCTCCTGAGTGAGGAAGCGTGAGCCACAGATCCAGCAGTTATGGGGTCGGAGCAGAGGTTTGAGGGATTTATAGTACCGACTGAAACATCATGAAGACAAATCTGTGTGTCATTACAATTCTTTGTACAATTAACAATGTGTTTATACTTCGAAGCTTACTTGCGATTTATATACTTCCTATATTTCTTCCGTAGGAAGCGCTTCGATGGTCTCCCCCGTTTCTTTGGGAGGAACTCCTCCTCTGGTTGGGTTTTGGATGAAGGGTCTTTGTTCTCAGAGTCCGACTGGCTTATAGCTGCCTCAGCTGTGTCCTCATTACTCTTTCTCACCAGACTTTGACCCAACCCAGAAGAGCTTGCCTCCTCAGAGACAGAGGGATCCCCGCTAAGTGTGGACGGCTTTGAAATGCCTTCAGCTTCTGTGAGAAACACTGGAGGATGAGGAAGGTACTGACTGCAACATAGTAGCATAAATATGTCCTCAAACGAACATCTCACCTTTGTTGTTGCCTTCACTGGAAATGTTGTATTTCCTTGGGCGGCCGACCTTTCGTCGGGGGCGCCCTTGAGAAGAGGAGGGGGTGGGAGTGGAGGGTTTGTTGGGAAAGTTAGGAGGTCTTCCTTTAATCTCCTGATCTACTGGGTTGTAATCGCTGTCCTCTGGAGTTACACACACAGTCAATGTTAAGGTTATATTGCTTATGACTAAGATGATATAAATCAATACAATATAACACGACTGTAAAGTGTAAGGAATATATTGAGTTTAAAATATTTAAATAATCAAAAACTGACAGCTATGCTCTCAAGCACCTTACTTTACAATTCTCAGCTAAATTATAAATGTACAAATCCTCTTGGAAGGACAAAAGCCCTGAGTCTACCTTTGATCAACATCAGGCTTAGGATTTTTGTTTTTCTTATATTCAGTTTTATGTCCAATTTATAAATGCGAGGTAAATCAAGTTAGTTTAGTTATACCTAACCTATGAATAACATTGTGTTAATAGCAAGGTTCCTCTGAAGGAACAGAACAACAACCCTAAATATACAACAAGAGCTAAAATGGAGCGAATACAAAGGCATAACATTCCTTCCTATTATGTTTTGAAAAAACTTTGAAAATCAGTTTAACTTCCACCCTACAAATTTATGTGCATTTTTTAATTACATTTATAACTACATGAATAAACAAAAATACAACATAATCTTTATTATCATAAGCAGACAAAATGCAAAAAGGTTTATGAATACATTTGGTAGATGCTGTAAATACATAGACCGACATAAGGAGAATATCTTCCTCTCTCACCTTCTGGATCGTCAATTGCACCGGCGTCTACGATATCATCTTCTTCATCTTCTACTTCTTGCTTTACGACAGCCTTCGCTTCTTCTGCCCTCCTCCTTTCTGCCTCCTCTCGCTCTGCTTTTTGCCGAGCTAACGTCTCACTTTTGGGGGGTCGTCCACGTTTACGTTTAATCGGCATGTCTCCTAAACAAAATGTTCAAGATGAAATCACTGATACCATATGCCAGCTTGGGTAATGACGGTTGCCATTACTAGAATCCTTACCAGCAGGTTTAAAATGCTTTTCCCTCATGTGGTTGATGAGCGTGTCTTTGGAAACACTTTTATACGGACACATCTTGCACTTGAACTGCTGTACAATCACCACCTCCATCATCTCCTCCAACTCAGCCAGGTTTGGCTGGTGGTTTCCAGAGCCTCCCACCATGGCTGATGTCTCTGTGGCTGCAGAGAACCGAGGTTCATCCTGGGAGCCTTGAGGCTCCTCTTGGCTGGGGGAACTCTGTTGGGCCACTTCAGGTTCCTGAATAGAAGCGTATGTGCCACTGCTGCTGATGTACAAGCCAGGCTGACTGTCGTTACATTCCAGCCCCTCAGGAAGTCCGTTTGTGCCTGCCGTGTCTGCAAGCGGGTGGTCTGAAGAAGAGCTGTCATCTTGATAGAAGGACGCCTCGGGTCCGTTGCTGTTCTCTGTATAGCAGGAGTGCTGAGGCTGCTGCAGAGAGTGCTGCGGCTGATCTGGATCCTGGTTCCTTTCATCATCGTCATCATCATCAACGTCATCAAGTCTTGCTTGATAGCGTGAGCAGCCAGGCTGCTCCGAGTCTGCATCTGCAACACATTCCCCCCCAGACTCTCCTGCATACTTTCTACTCGTCTGGGTCCGGTGGTCTGCGCTGCTGTCGATGTAGCTGCGTGATTCATGTGGCTGTTCTCTCCCATTTGCTGCTCGGGGAAGATACCCAGTGCTACAATCCACCACGTAGCGACTTCTGCTGGTGGGGTTTGAATCAGCTCCGCTGTATTCTACATACCCAGGCAGCTCCTGGTCACGGTTACTCCCCCTGTAGTAAGAAAAACCTGACTGGGAGCGAGTCTGGTCAGGTTCCTCACCGGAACACTCCAGAAATGATGATGAGGACTCCTCAGTCTGGTCAGGACCATCCGCGCTGCAGTCCATATACTGGGATGGGTGGGAATGTTGGGGCTGGTCAGGGTGGCTGCTGCTATCTTCTCTGTAGCCAGAAGGTCCAGGATGATCATCAGGCTGGTCTGGCTCAAGATTACCCTGAAGATCTCCCTGATCCTGACAGGTGGATGTAGGACCTTCAACATGAGCCTCTATGGCTACACGGTTGGACGTGGCTGAAGATGACATATGGGCTACCATATGAGCTCCTGCAATATCCAAAGGAGAGAAGTTTAAAAATATTTACATGATGGGTTCAGTGCAGGTTGAGCAGAAACAAAAAGTCATGACGTCTCTGCTTTACACTCATATTACACAATGCAACACGATGATTAAGATAATTAATTTGATCTTCAATTAAACATTTCATGAGGCTTATAGAAGCCCTTAAAATGGTCTGAGGGGATGAAACATGCTCACCGTCATCTGGTCCTTGTACAATCAGATACTGGGTGGTTTCTGCTCGTCCATCCTCTGCACTGGTCACAGCTATACAACCTTAAAAGGAAATATAGCAACTTCACACACACTACCTTGAAAAAGCATATTTATAAATGTAACTATTTCTTTTTCATAAACCACACAGGGGACACAGCAAACCTTTAAAGAAGGTTCTTTTCTGATCAGATGAGGTCAAACTCAAAAATTTTAACCCATAAAAACTGCTATCACTGAAAAAAAAAACCCCAGCTAAGACCAAAGAAGGAGCATCATTCAACATAAAAATAAGTAGCTAAATAGAGAACAATCCCAGAAGAAGACTTGCAAAAGACAGGAGTTGTGTTAAGGTGGTTTTTTTACTTTAGAGCAGGGCAATCATCCTAAATGTAACCAGAGCTGCAATAAGATGGCTTCAAACAAAACACATTCATAAGTTAGAATGGTCTAGTCAAAGGCCAGACCTAAATCTTTTAGATAATCAGTGACTAATGCTCTCTTCCCTACCCCGTCCTGGACTATCACATAAAATCCCATCAACATTTGTGGTAGCAACATGACAGGAGCATGAAATTAATTATAAGGATGAATGATATATCAAGGCTTAGTATGCTATTAAAAGACAGAAATTGTTCAAAGGTACCGTTTACAAGATCTGGACCGATGGTTGACTCTATGATTTTGTCAATGGCAGATCCTAGATCTGATGAGGTAGATGCAGTGGAGTCAGAAACCATCATAGCTCCGTCAGACACCGCACTGGAGTGGACCAACACCTGAGCCGATCCTGTCACCAGCACTGACTGGGTCACTGTGGAGACACTGGAAACACTGGTGGACTGAGCCACGGAAGAGGAGTCTGGAAGATGAACTGAAGAAACTCTGACATCTGTACTGGAGCTGGTCTCTGGGATGAACACCTAGAAAGAGAGGCAAACACCTCATTGTCTTTTAACAGCTTCATTGCAATTGTCTTTTCTCAGGAGAGTGCCTTACCACCAGTCCTTCTGAGCTCTGTCCCACATGGCAGTCTGACTCTGGGGCCTGCACATGGGAGGCGGCAGCATCGCTGCTGTCTGCAGACATTGCCTCTGATGATTCCATGCCCATGCCGCTTTCAGACGGTTCCTCCATCCCCGATGGACCTGCATCACTGCTGCTTTCAACCTCATTCTCCTCTGAATCCATAACTACAAAGAACAGTCATCTTTAAAGCTTGCTGTAAACATTCCAACAAATATGAATCTTTAGTAGGCAAACATTAAGTTGCCATTAAGCTGTTTGATTTCACAGAAAAGTAGCAGAGTAACTGGGTGGTAAATAGTTTAGGACTGAAACTAATGATAGTTTTGCAAATCGATTAATCTGTCATTTATCTTGTCAATCAATTGATTAATAATCGGATAGCCAAAGGTACTTTAACAAAGATCTTTATACAAAAATAAACCAGGTGAAATTCTAACTTTTCCACTAAAGGAGTTCTGGATAGAGCATATTTATTGAATAAAAAAAAATTTTTTTAATCTTAAATGCAAAATGTTTATATAATTTTTTACAATCTTGGTTTAATTACTGCTCTAGGTGGGTTACTCTATCAGCTACTGGCATGTTTTACAGTTACTGTTTCACATGATGTAACAGTTATTTGATGTTTCTTTCCCAGCCATGTCTGAAATGTTCTTAAGTATTTTAAAACATGGTGCATTAGGTAGGGCTGATGGTCATTATGGTACGATCTAGAGCAGAAAATTACAACCTTCTCATGACCCAGACTATTGGCAGAGTATACAAACAATTTCACAAATAACAAATGATCAAAATGTATTTAAGTGATGTGTTTAAACAATTTTATGGCTATTGCATACACATGCTTTACAATCATCATGTTTATCGTTTGGTTTAATTTTTTTAAAGGACCTAGCTGTCCATCCATGACCAAAAGGCAACCTGACCCCAACTTTATTGAAAAGTAATAGGCTATATTAATTCATCCATATAGAGCTGTATGTATACCACATGTTCTCACGTGGATGAGTTTTAATTGAGGCCATTTAATGCTTTCTTGGTAAACTCTAAATTATTTAAGATAATCAAAATCCTTTAATTGAACTAGCGCTACGAAGAAACCTCAGCGGTTCCTAAAGTATACCTTAGTAAGAAATTAGAAAATGATTTCAAGTGTTGTCAGTCCAGTTTGATGATGATGATTATGATAGAATTTTTGAATGATGAAATTGTATGTGTCTTAATTCATGGTGCATAATCCTAAATTCCACATCATGCTTTCTTTGACAGACAGCATATGTCAGGAATCAAATATAACAATATCAGCAAATGTGTGTCATTGCATATAAAGATAATATTAATGGCATTTCTCCTTCTGTACTTTGGAATAAGCATTTAACAGAGTAAATATGGGATCCACACTACACAAGTAATTCCAGGGATGACAAGCAATGTTTTTAATGATTTTCCAGGAGTGGAAATGCTGTCCCACCTTTTCTCTGCCTCTGCTAAAAGTTGTTCTGCTGAAAGCACAGCGAATTCATCCACATTTTTCATGAAAACAACAAACAGGATTTATCTTTACATGGTAAAAACAGGCTTTTTATTGGTACATTTACTTTGAAGAGTTATCCGTGGAACGAAATAACAAAAAAACTAAAATTATAATAGTTAATACAAACAGCCCAAGCACTGTTTTACCAAAGTTCCCAGTGGGAATTTTAAACTTGGAGTTGCTTTGCTACCAAGAGTACATGTACATGTCATTTAAGTGAATATTCCTTTAAGTGAATATTTGGTCTCATTCTCAATAAGAGGATAATGTATATTGCTCATAATTCAAGTCTGCTAGGTTAGTTTATTTAGCATAGTTGGAACATTAGCTAGAGAAGCTAACGGATTAGCATCATGTTGGGTTAGTCGGCTTTAGCACATACTATATAATGCTACAGCATAAATAACTCCAGTTTATAACGTTGTATGACAATCTTTATACAAGGTGCTGTAGCTAAAAACACTGAAACTGAACAATGTCGCAGTCGGAGCTAGTTTGCCAGGCTAGTTTGTCACAGACTAGCGGCTCGTCGTTTGAAGCAGGCCTAGCTGCCCTTCACCCTGCCTGCTCCGCCTCGCCATTCTACACTGCACAGGCGTATTTTCCACTCAGGCATTATGCGGGATCTACTGACCGGGGACCTCGAGGGCCTAAACAGCGACAGACCGCCCAAACACCGTCCCTGAAGAAAATTAAAAATTTTTCCCTCGCCTACAACAGAATTGCAACCCTTTTTTCTTACCCTGTATTTTTTAGTAGACGAATATTCCGTCGGGTAGATGCGCCGAGTAGATCACAACATAGCAACCAATAATAGTCGATTCTTTCTAGTCGGGCGCCATGAGTATCTCCTGGCTTCCTGTCACTGCGACCGGATCTTATTTATTGTTTTGGTTGAAAACAGCCTATTTTGATATGTGTTGGTTATCCTAATTGTCCGATTTTAGCGTTTCTTCTTTTCTTTTTTAACCGTATCTCATTATTTAATCGGATCGGGTAGTGTTCTGATATCTGTGTCATTTTGTGGACTATTGTTTTTAGTGGAGGACGTATTACACAGAAGTGCGGAGGAATATTAGACCACCTTTCCTTTTAAATCTAAGGTCTGTTAAACATTTCGTAGGTTAAATACAGGGCTGCCAGCTTTTCACCAAACCTTAGGGTGAGATTTTTAAATAGTTTGGACAGGAAACCCTTACAGGATTCGATCAAAAGGCTGTGAGGATAGAGACAGCTGTAGGGTGGAGGTTTTCAGATGATTTAACTGAAACAAAGTGTCAGAATGTGGGATTTTTATAGCACAGTAAATATCACTGAGTAACAATAAGTGGCCTGTAGTTATGTGGAACACTCACAATATACATTATTTTCTATATTCTGGTGATTTTTAGAGAATTGAAGTAAAGTAGTGAAATACTTGCATCTTAAATATACTGTAAACTAAGAATTTAACAACTTTGTTTATTAATTATTATCTGTAGCTTAAGTAAAATAAACAATGGGAAACTAAAAGGTTATCACTGGATTACAGGCACTGATACAGGGACTAGTGCAATTGAAACCTATGCAAAATACACTGTATTGTAATATTTGCTAATAGGCTAAGGATTAAAAAGCTTCATTCATTATGTTATTAGTTTTTCTTACAATTGACAAAACACCTAAACAATTCAAACCTAAGGCTGCAGATTTTATAAAACCTCACTATGACAAGAGACAGCACTTCTCTGGATGTTTCATTTGGAAAATGTGATGGAAATTAAGTTAACATATTCAAAGGACCAAAATAAGGATAAATTAATAAGATAAGTAATAATAAAATGAGAACATCCCTGTGGTGCTCCCTTTATGAATCCTGGATAAATGAGTTGTTCTGCACATCCACCCTTAGAAAAAAGTAGTTTATTCAAGTATACTAAAAGTGCACTAATTTCATACTTAAAATCAGGCAGTGCACTTAGAGTTTACTTATTCTAAAGTTGAAAGTCTTGAAAAAGTCTATAAAAGAATGAATCTTTAAGCGACTGATAATCTAGCATATCTAAAACTAATCTCACATTATTATGAATATGTCAGCCTTTTATATAGGGTGACTGAACCTCAGCAACTAGATTAGACAATTTTGTAGTCATTGCTCAGAAAAGGTATAGGCCTCCAGTTATTGAGGTTCATTAAGTCCTATTAGGTTTGGTAGTAAAGTTATCAGCCCAGTTTTCAGTGTGGGGGATAAGCATCCTTTATCTTTACATTCTAAAAAAGCTTTATGTTGCAGGTCTTTAATGTCGTTCCAGAAGTGTTTATAAAATTCAGATGTTATGTCGTCTTTTACTGGTGACTTTCCATTTCTGATGTCGTTAAGACTTCATCTAATATTTTTTTTCTTCTGCATTTAGCATTTTTATGTTATCTTTGATTGTTTCAACAGTATGTCACAGTCTTCTATTTGGAGACTGGATTTATACAAGTTGTTATAAAAGCCCCATATGTCAACGTTTATCTGTTTTTGGTTGTCAATAATTGTATAATTTTTCTTCGGTTAAATTGTCATCTTTTTGCATTGCTCTGTTTTTCTAATCTATAGAAGTAAAATGTATTTTTTCTCCTAGATCTATCCACCTGGCTTTTGATCTTATAATGCTCATTAAGTTTTTTCCTTGTACATGTCATCTAATTTGACTTAAAGGCATTTCCTCTGTTGTTATATCAGTTTTTCCTATTATCGGATTTATTTTTAAAATGAGTTGTTTTTGTTTTCTTGCTCGTCATTTTTGTTTCCTGTTCCAGACACTGTTTGATTTTAAATTTGAACCACTCCCGTTTCTTCATATACGACCTGTCAAGTCCATTTACATTTTGAAAAAGAATTTTAACTTGCCTATAGAATTCTTCATTAAGTAATAAACTCTTATTTAATTTCAAGTGATTTCTGGTTATGTGTTTTGTTGAATTATTCTTAATGGCAGTTTAATCATGCAGTGGTCTGTTAAGGGGGATGCAAAAATTTCACATTTTAAAACATCTTTAGCTATAATCTGAGAAACTAACAAATAAACTGATTTTGAACTCTGGTTATTATCTGCAGAGTTAGTCCAAGTGTATTTTACAGAGCTCAGGTTTGAAATTTTACAGTAAGCAACTGTATGTGTACAAAATGTCATCATATTCATGATGCAGTCTTTTATGAGGTTTACGATCAAGCCATGAATCAGGAGCTATATTATAATCTCCTCCACTTTATCTGTAATAAAAGTAACTTTCCAATCATTTATGAGCAAACTTAGATTTGCAATCATGACCCGATTATTTCTCCTGTTTTTATGTATATCCATAAACACAATGTAGAATTCATCTTTAATCATGCATCTCTACTACCATTATAAGCCAATGTCCACCAGTATCACATTTATGCACAATTACATTTCCTGGAAATGTATTGAAAAGCACCATCACTCCAGCAGAATGAGAAGCTCCATAAGAGAAAAGTATTTCATCACCCAATTGCTGTTTCCAAAACGTTCAATCTGTCACTCCTGAATAAATCCTGCAACGGAATGTTTTGACAGAGAAAAGGAAACGCTTTTAACAGGATTAGTTCATTCAGCAAAAGAAGCTGAGACATGCAGAAAAATAATAAGTAATCGTTGTATAAGAAAAGCTTATCTGAAAGTGTACACATAGTTCATGGGAGCATAGTTCTGTCAGTGGCTTCATCCATTAAAGACATATAAAATAAAATCAAACACTGGGCCAGGAGTAATTTACTGGTACATGTGAGAAAAGTGTGACAAAAAATCAGAAGAAAAAGATCCCCATCATGGTTTTGGCTGGGGTAGGGGCCCATGCCCACAAGAACTGAGCAGCACTGAGCCACAAGCACTTTCTACAGAAAAAGAACAAGTGATTCCTCTTTATAAAATGCAAATTAAGAAGTTATTAGAATGACATCTTAGTTTATCAGGTTACATTTTATAAATCTTGACTAACAAACCTGCATCTTTATAATATTTAAAGCATATTTCTAAACATTAACGTCCTTAATAAGTATGTATCAATACAGGTACTTTTCAATGTGATATATATTCTAAATATGCATAACCCTGAAATCAGTAAAGTCTGTCAGAAAACAATCTATATTTTTCTTAGTTTATTATAGTCTGCATAATTTCTACACAATTTTGCATATTTTAGAGTCTGTGTACAATTAAACTAGTATTCGATTACCAAATTAGTTGACAACTACGCCAATGTTCGATAAAACATTGCAGCCCTGCATAACAAGATGTCTATATTATTTTAAAACAGAAAAAAAATGAAACAGGAAAAACTGCCATAGAACCATCATCTTACTGCTAAAAGACTGATCTTCAATCTGTAAATGTGCCAATCGAGAATCACTTTCAAGTCCTCAGGTAAAACTTCCACTTATTGGTGGGTCACATAAAAAAGCTATTTAAGAAAAATTCATGTATTAAAAAAAAGTATCTTAAAATGTTAAAAGTTATGCTAAGGTTTCATTTGTCATAGTTTCTCATTTAGATTCATTTTCCTTCTACAGTGGAACAATTTTTAGCCTGATGTGTTATTTAGGTAATACAAACAAAACCTTTATGTTAAATTGTCCTTTAAAAAGATCTCTTGATTTTGTTTTGTTTTTTCCTGAAAGCTAATTGCATTGTGTCTTCTTAAGGTAGTTTTCTATTGATTTATCACTGTAGACCTCATTATTGCTTTTTATATTATTGGTAGCTAAACCCTGACCTGTAATCTATCTGTAGTCAGGAAGCAGTTCTAATCACTTAACATTTATTAAACAGCAAACCAAATTCTAATACAAAACATTTACAACTTGCTACAAAACAATTGTGAAGAATTGTCTGATGTTCATGCATTTTTAAGTGTATTCAATCAGTTGACCAAAAAAATAAAATAAAAATCACATTTTGAGTGAATTTAAGAAAACACAACATAGATTTTCTATGCTAGAGAATCAGAAAGCGTTGGTGTGAAATTTGAACACTAGGGGGAGACATGCAAGCATCATATAATGAATTTGTGTTTTTCCTAACTACTCCCCATCTTAATAAATACATGATATAGAGGCCTTCAAAAGCCGAATAAAGATAACCTGATTATGGAATGTTACATTTATAATGCACCTTGAGGCGTTTGTAAACGCCACACCATAAAAATAAAAAAAAGAAAGAAAATGCATTCATATGCAAACAATGCAGTTACATAACAGCTTTATTAATATATCTGAGTATTGCTAAATAATCTTTGTGCTTTTGATTGTTTGAAATTGTGCTATGGTCTATAGCTAGAGGCCTAGTGATGTCTTGCAATTTGCATTTGGAGTTTGATTTTGAGTATTTCTTTTCCAACCAATTCCGTAGTCCATACTTGGAAAAATCTAATTTCACTTGCTGGAAAGAAAATAAAAAATAAAATCAGGCACCGACCTGAAGTGAATTAATTAAATGTCCCCTTTGCCAAATCCTAAACAACAGCTTTTTTTGAGTGAAAGCTTTATTTATTCAGCAGTTAGTCAGAATACCAACAATCTTTGTTACAGAAGCTGAAAACTCACAATGTGTCGTATTCAAACATAATAATGTCACATTTTAATGGAGGGAAACAAGTGTGAGAAGAAGATTCACAAGGTTAAAGTAAGTTCTCAGTTTAAGAGATGTGAGTCGTGGCCCCTCTTAGAATGTGCAGTGTGTAAATTCAGTAGGGCGTTGAGATTAAGAGATGCATCCCAATATTAAAAAAATGAACAGGCTAACACAAAAAGAATATAGCCCACAGTTCCTGCTAAAATCGTTTATTGGTCTCCACTTATTGATCAAATCCCAGGACCTATAAACACTTTGCATTTACCCACTGATGATGGCAAG